CTCAACAAACATTAAACAACACAATCATAAATCGCAACAAACATTAAACAACTCAATCATAAAACTCAACAAACATTACACAACACAATCATAAAACTCAACAAACATTAAACAACACAATCATCAAACTCAACAACCAATAAACAACACAACCATAAAACTCAACAAACAATAAGCAACACAACCATAAAACTCAACAACCAATAAACAACACAACCATCAAACTCAACAACCATAAAACAACAACCATAACACTACAACAAAAAATTCAATAACCATGAACCTGTCCGATATGCAGGTAGACTACATCCACTGCCTGGTGCCGGACCTGCAGGAGATCACGGCCTGCTCCTTCTACTGGGGCAAGATGGACCGCTACGAGGCGGAGCGCCTGCTCGACAACAAGCCCGAAGGTGACACACACATATACTGGCTGTAGCCCGCGACTTCTACCGCTGACAAAACAACAAAAGCAAGCAATTTAGAATACAAAGTCTAATAAAATATATTTTTACTGAGAAACCATGACATGTTTTTTTAATGTCGCACAGATGGAGTCGCCGGCTAAAGCTAGTTGATGGTGAATTAAAAAAAAATAATTAAATGTTTAATTTAATATAACTGCTGATATCGAAGTTGTGATTTTTGTATATTTTCTTTAAATTAGTTTTTTATGGTCTGATTTACAATTTCCATTTATTTGTCAACTACCAAATTACTGTTGGTAACGTATGCGAAATAAATACATTGAATTTTGAGCGTGGTTGGCAACCCCTGCATTATAATACCTTTTTGCATCGCCAGCATCCCTTATTGTCTATAATATTGTGTTTTTTTATATAATCATCTATACTATTATAATAAAGCGTAAACACACACTTTGTAGCCTAAGATGTCAACAATTACAGCATATTTTTGAATAATTATTTTTTTAATAAAAATCCCTACACTTACGTCACGCTTTAGGCTATATTAACGCCATTAAATTTAGGAGGTAAACATTTTGGATATAAACCCTAATGTGGGAAAGAGACCATAAGTTGCTGCCAACATCAAAGAAGCAAGATTGCCATGTCATGTCATTTTGATATTTGCTATTGATAATTTGACAAATGTAAACAATATGTTTGTTATAATTTCATGCGGATTAAGCCGCTTGGGAACAGCTGGTATTTAATAAATTTAAATGTTCCAGGTACATTCCTGTTGCGTGATTCAGCGCAAGAGGAGCATTTATTCTCAGTGTCGTTCCGTAAATACGGTCGTTCTCTGCACGCGCGCATCGAGCACTACCAGCACAGGTTCAGCTTCGACTCGCACGACCCCGCGGTGTTCGCCGCCGCCACCGTCACTGGACTCATCGAACATTACAAGGTACAACCGTACAACAACACAACTATGTCTCAACACAACTACAACACAACTTTGTCGCAACACAACTACATCATAACAACAACACAACTATGTTAGAACATAACGCAACTACAACACAATTATGTCACAACAAAACAACAACACAACTACAAACCAACTATGTCACAACGCAACTACAACACAACTACAAACCAACTATGTCTCAACACAACTACAAACCAACTATGTCACAACGCAACTACAACACAACTACAAACCAACTATGTCTCAACACAACTACAACACAAATACTTCACAACTATGTCACAACACAACGCAAATACAACACAACTATGTCACAACAAAACTACAACACAACTACAAACCAACTATGTCTCAACACAAATACTTCACAACTAAATTACACTCTTAGGTGGCATCGTGGTCAAGCGCTAGCTTAACAAATATAAAAAAAAACTTAATATACCCGTTATCGTCACCACATTCAAGGTGTTAGGTACAACCATAAAACAACATAACAAAACTACATCACAACACAACACAACTATAACTCTGTCTTAACACAACAACAACATAACTACAACACAACTAAATTACACTCTTAAGTGGCATCGTGGTCAAGTGCTAGCTTAACAAACATAAAAAAAAACATAATATACCCGTTGTTGTCATTACATGCGTTGATGCTAGATACAACCATAAAACTGACAACATAACACAACTATATTACAACATAACTACAATAAAACTAAAGCAATCACTCGTACCTAAAATACCCTTTATCCTACTGTGTTATTGAATATTATAAGATACTAGCTTTTACCAGCGGCTCCGTCCGCATTTTATTAGAAAAACAATAGTAAGTATCCTAAGTGTTCTCCTCTACATCTATGACAATCATCGAGATCCTTTCAGCAGTTAAGATACAAATTATAATATCCATACATCCATTTAAACTTTCGCATTTTTAATATTAGTAATGTATTCCAGGACCCAGCGTGTGTGATGTTCTTCGAGCCGATGCTAACAGCGCCGCTGCCCCGTACAGATACCTTCTCTCTGCAGCAACTCGCACGCGCCGTCATCGTCTCGCACACCACATACGATGGTAAACAACCACACACACCATACACACCATACACACCATACACTTTTTTTTATAACATAAGGTGGCAAACGAGCAAGCGGCCACTAGAATCCGCCAAAATGGCGAACCGCTGCCCTTAGACATCCGCAATTGCAGATGCGTTGCCTACCCTTATACGACGGAGGAGACGCACATAAAGAGGATGTTTCCCCTTCCTATGCATCTCCTCCACCGTTTAATCCACTTCCCCTTCCCAACCTCTCCTTATAAGAAAAGGGTGGTAAAGAGAAAGGGACTTAAATTAGGCCTCCGGCACCACACTCATCAGACTGTATACGGAATTGCTTCCATTTCCCGCCTGTCTTGTGTGGTCGTGGTATTGCTGGGGGCGAGCCCTGCAGTGCTAAGATGTTAAAGCGGGCACTACCACTGTAAAAACACACTTTAATATTATAGTTTAAAGTGATTTTAATCGAATAAAATCTGACTCGAAGGACCATTTATTCTGACTCATAAGGGGCGTCCATAAATTACGTCATCGATTTTTTCAGACTTTAGACCTCCCCCCCCCTTACAATCATACTATCGTCATTTCTTAATGACACCCCCCCCCCTTCTCCCAAAATTGACGTCATTACCAGTTTGACGAAATTAAAACATTGCAGATTTGAGAATAATAGGGTATTATATGATTATCTTTTTGTACGTGAACAATAAACTATAAATAAATAAATAAGAATGACGTCAATTCACGCCCCCCTCCTATCTATCATTTACCGTCATCCGCAGACCAACCCCCCCCCCCTAATTTAGAGTGACGTAATATATGGACGGTCCCTATGTAGGATACAGTATGACTTCAACTATTGCATGAATTCTGTAGTTTAAAAACCTTTTAATAGACTTTTTTCTTAAAGACCATTTAAGAAACTTACGACTCAAAGGATCATTTAAGAAACTTTGCAAGTCAAATAATTAAATTAACAAAGGAAACTTTCTGACCTCAAAGGTTGTGTTAATAAACAGAATTTCTCGTTCCGACTCGAAGGACCATTTACTTTTAACATCTCTAAGTGTAACTTATCTCCCAGGTGTGGAACAGCTCCCTCTACCGGCGCGTCTTCGAGCCTTCCTCAAGGAATACCACTACCGGCAGCGCGTGCGCGTGCGTCGCCTCGAGCCTGACGTCTATCTACCGCATTGCTAGCCCTGCCTACCCTGTCTGCATTACCTGCAGCGGGCTTACACCTCGCGGGGTACACTGCAGAACTGCTAGCCCTGCCTACCCCATCTGCATCACCTGCATCGTGCATACAGCTACCTCTCGCGGTACACTGGGGTACTGCTAGCCCTGCCTACCCCGTCTGAACAGTGTACATGCCTACCTCTCGGGGTACGGGACTACCACTAAAGGTAGAAGGCGTAATGGTAATACCACCCCCACAGGTAGTTAAGTAGATTTAAAGTAACACTATCCTTAGAGGTAGTGGTCATAAATTGAAGGTACCCTAAGAGGTAGTAATCAAAAGGTACAACTACCCTTACAGATAGCGATAATAAATAAATTTTCTACCCCAAGAGGTAGTGGTTATAACTGAAAATATGCCGCATATTATACTAAAATCTGTGTACACGGTATTAAAACCTATTTATAGCCACTACCTGACAAGGTAGTATACAACTACTAACTACTAACTACGGTTATAAGTAAAATTTGTATATTTCCTACCTGTAGAGGTAGTCCTTATATCCGTCTAATTTACTAAATAACTAAACTCGATTATTACTAAATTATAGCCACTACATTTCAAGGTAGGCATCAAACTACGATTTAAATATTAAAAACCTAGAGAGAAGATACCTTTAGAGGTAGTACTTTATACCCATCTACTGAATAAACATGGTTCCTAAACTACTACCTGTCGAGGTAGTTAATTTATATAAAATATTGAAGATCTGGATAGAAAATACTACCTGAAGAGATAGTGGTTAAAATAGGCTATGTTTTTCAACAGAAAACCTAAGTTTTGGTCTAAATTTTATATGGTCCGTCTATATCCACTACCTAAAGAGGTGACAACAAATACAGCAGAACCTCGGTAACTTAAAAACCCCTATAACTTCAAAAAATATGTTCCCTTCCCATCAGAGCCCAAAATCCCTACAACATAGACCCTTGATAACTTAAAACCTTTATAACTTAAAGTATTTTGTATTTCCCTTGCACTTTAACTTATCGAGGTTCTACTGTACTTCGAAATGAGGGAAATGGATACTACCCGAATACATGAATACCCATGAATATAACATACTGTTGCTCGCGACTTTGCGTGGAATTAAAAAACTAAAATACTATGTTACTCACAGATAAATTATCTTTCTAACGGTGAAAGAATTTAAAAAATCGGCCCATTAGTTTTTGAGTTATTTCAATATACAAAAATACAAATGTTTCCCCTTCATAACAGTACTAGCTGTTGCTAGCGACTTCGCCCGCGTGATATTAAAAAATATAGCCCATGTTACTCACAGATGAAATACTTTTCTAACGGTAAAAGGATTTTTTAAATTATCCCGAGTAGTTTTCGAGTTATTTCAATATACAAAAAAACAAATCTTTCCTCTTTATAACATTATAGATAAGTGACTACCCAAAGAGGTAGTGACTTACAACTACCCGAGAAGGTAGTTTAGAATTCAAGTGATTTGTCTCTATTCTTGTTAAAAGGAGTAAAAGAGATAAAAAAACCTATATAGTTATTGGTATATGAGCTTTTAAAAATACATTTGTATTTTTAAGAGGGTCTGACACGAAAATTTTTGAGATATCAATAATATTGACTATTTATATGGGATTTAAAATACGCGTAAAATCAATAAATTCTCACGTAAATTTGATGATTTGATCTTGAAAATTTTCGTGTTAGGTACCCAGTGGGAATATTTGCGAAATTAATTGTCTTGTATATATTATCTAGATTAGTAAGTAAATATAATTGACTATTCATATTAAATTATATATTTTTATTATAATATTTTTATTTGTTAAGTTAGTTAGTAATTGAAACTAAAGTATTCAAGAGAAATGAGAAATTTAAAACTTGTCTAAATAGCTTAGCTTTTTTATATGTTTGTTATAATTTATATTAAAATTAAACACGTAATTTTTACAAAATAATGTTAAAGGAAATGTACGAATTCCGTCATTGTACACAATTCCTAGGAAATGTATGTGATTCCTATAAACTCCCGGAAATGTGTGAAATTATTTCAGATTAATTGCAGTTACAAATTATAATTCATTATATTTTTACAGTAAACATATATTTCATACATTTCTTACTATAATATGTTATATCTCACACATTTCCAAGAAATTTTATAATTTCATACATTTCCATACATTTCTCATTTCAATTGAATTCTTTAAATCGCAGTAAATCGTCGCTAAGGGCTAATCTCTGAGTGTGGATGGACTTTAAATTATTTTTCTTTACACTTAATGTTTAATATGGAAGAATATGAAATTCTTTTCCAATTTAAGAAATTTAGTATTATATAAATATACATTTCTGCAATAATATAGGTTACAGGTGTGATATGGGACCCTCGTATTCCCCTTAAAATATAGGGGAAAACTTACAAGGCTGTCGTAAGACCTGTCATGATGTATCTGAATGTTGGGACAAAGGGACGGATGAAAGGAGAATACATGTGACAGAAATGCGAATGTTAAGATGGATGTAACATGAATGGATAAGATACGAAATGAGTATATTAGAGGAAGTTTGAAAGTAGCCCCAGTGGTTGAGAAGGTAAGGAGTGGTATGGGCATGTTATGAGAAGGAATGAATCGCATGTAACAAGAAGGACGTTAGTTATGAGTGTGGAGGTACACCGGTAGAGGTAGACATAGAAAGAGAAGTATTGCGTGAAAGGTGACATGATCAAGAAGGGAGTGATGACTGAGATGACGGATGATAGAGTGCTTTGGAGGACGAAAACCCGGAGCGCCGACCCTACGGGAGTAGGATAAGGCAGGGGAGATGATGATGACATTTCTGCAATAAAGCGAGGCTTTAAATTTCTTTTAATATCTTATTTAGCTTTAAATGTTTAAAATATTCGACAAATATTTGATCAAATATTCGACAAATGTTGGCCGAACTGACAAAAGAATCATCACAATTTTATATTTCGATCTTCTGTATTCAAAGTTGTCAATTAAATGTATTTATAAATAGTTTTTTAATTCGTATATTTGTTTTTCTGTCTACCCTATATTAGGTAGTTGTAATGAGTTATTTATTATTAAGTACATATATGAAATTCCTGAAAAGGTTAACGAATGTTTTATACAATAATGTAGGCAGTATTAGAAAACAATCATGATACAGACAGACAGACAATTTTTATATAAGTATGTGAAAACTGCAAAATAAAGCGAGGAAATGTATGTGATATACAATTATGATATATGAAGAAATGCATGATATTATAATAAAAAAAAGCCTATGAATGAAAGTCGAATTTCTACAAAACGGCAACAACATTTCGTCTATTATATTTAACTAGGTGTTGCTTGCGACTTCGCTTGCGTGAAATTAAAAAAGTAATAAATATAGCCTATGTTACTCACAGATATTTTTTAACGGTGAAAGAATTTTTAAAATCGGCAGTTTTTTAGTTATTTCAATACATACAAAAATATCAGCAAAATGACAATAAAAATGTGATTTTTTATTATTTTCCTCAAATTTTGATTATTATTATTAATAATAGTCTACTGTTAATAATATTTTTATACGGATTAAAGGCGAAACTCCAACAAGCTTTAAGTTAAAAATATTTTAAACAGTAACTTTTTAAAATAATCAAATATTCAGAGAATATTGAAAAATTTCTTTTTTGACAGACTTCCTAAAAAAAAGGAGGTACTCAAATTGTCTGCATATTTTTTATATAAATCGAATTATGTATAGAAAATGAAATTAGAAAAAAATCAAACAAAAAAATGGGGCCCACCTGCAAGATGACGTTCGGATAAAAAAAGAATTATCAAAATCGGTCCACTAGCGGCGGAGTTATGCCGTAACACATAAAAAAAACATACAGACGAATTGAGTACCTCCTTTTGGGAAGTCGGTCAAAAAGAAAATGAAACGATCGAAATCGACGAATTGTTTGTCTGTTTGTTTCTTGGATGAAGAACTCGTTATTGTAAATTGTATTATAAATGTGAGGGGAATTAAGAGATTTGATAAAGTACGATCAATATTGATTAAATAAAGTTTATTTTAATTTATTTCGCTGTTTTTTTTGTTACCTGAAACTTCGACCACCCGAAATAAAATACCTGCCAGAAAATTGTACCTTCTAGAGAAGTACAATTTTGTTGAGCGAGGTACTAAATAGTACATTTTAAGTACATTTTTTTAGTAAGTGGTATAATTTAATTCGCGATGGTACACCCGCCATTTTGACTCTCACTAAGAGCATATAAATATGAAGTTAATATAGTTAACACGTTAAACGGTATGGGGGTCACCGGTGACCTCACCCTTCCTATATCATAGCGCCTTGTGGGTCACCTATGACCTCAACATATCGTCATATTCAAACTACTTTTTCTCGCCGCCGACCATTCTGACTTACTTTATTCGTGACCGGCACGGCGCTGTAGAATAGTCTTGGGTGGTACACGTACGATGTACTAAAAAGTAATGTTACTCGGCACTGTACTAAAAGTAACGTTACCGAACGGCTTCTGTTAATCGGACATTTAGTACTTTTAGTACACTACACGATATCGGTGTTCGCGTTTTTGTCAGATTGAAGCATCCTCCTTCGATAATGAGAATCAAAAGTGGATAAAATTATTCATAACTATATTTATTTTCGCTAATAATTTATACCCCCGTTATATTCTATTCATGTATTGTGTTTTCACAAATCTGAAGTACTAAAGGTACTAAAAGTGTGTACTAGTACTTTTTTCCAATTGTACTAGTACGGTGCGCACTTGCAGATGTCCGATTAAGCCCAAGACTACTGTAGAACTGGCGCTGGGACAGTGGGACAAATATACCTTGTAAGGAATTATGTAACTTGTACAGAATTGAATAAAACTTATTTTCTATACGTATAGTAACAATAAACAAATTACGACCAAATGTATTTTACGATTTTTTTTTTCTATCGGTGTTTAACGTTAACAATTTTCAGTTTTAAAACCTTTAGAAATTACTTAAAAAGTCGTTTTATCTCGAAGTACACAGGGTTAGTAATTAGACGTATTCTCCTTTTTTATCCTCCTTTTATTCTCCGTATGTTTTTCCCGCGTTTTCGTATGTTAATTAGAAACAGATTAAAAAAGGAACGAGTCCCGACTCTTATTTTATATGCTCTTTGGGTCTTATCAGATCTTTGGGTACAGATGTTAGTATTGTAAATTAATCGATAGTTAATCGTTTTTTATAAAGGTGAAGAAATAAAGTAATTACTGAAATAAATTTTTTGACTTATTTTGAAAGATTCTAAAAATCATGATTACTCGAAAATGGTTAACTTTTGTATACATATAGGGGTCACAATTATCACAAATGACCTCTATCATCTAACGGGAATACGTCAAAATACCAATAACCCTGTATAAAAACACAAATTTAATGTTTAATAATAGATAGATATATGCTATCGCTATGCGCGGACTTTTATTTAGCAAATTTAAAGGGCTATAATTCTTCCATACATCATTTTTATGTAAGTGTTATAGTTTAGGCTACGTAAGCAAAGATAGCAAAAAAGACCCCATATTTCGACGCGCAATTTTGTGCTAATCTATTTAACTACGTCGTAGTCTTTGACTCCAAAAATCAAAAACCTGCAAGCATTACCTTTCAGATAAAAAAGAATTATCAAAATCGGTCAACTAGCGGCGGAGTTATGCCGTAACACACATAAAAATACATACAGACGAATTGAGTACCTCCTTCTTTTGAGAAGTCGGTCAAAAAGACGTGTTTTCTCGAATATATGTAACTTTTGTTGAGTGGAGTGTAATTAAAAATAAAAACCATAAAATTACTAACATCTTTTATTACATCAAATAAATTATAAAGTTCATAGACAATAATTACTTTTTATTTATTAAAAAAGCGCTGTCATCGGCGTCCATTTGCAACATTCTATTGCTACGTAATTTAAAGCTGATAACATAATTATACAATTCGAGAAAAATCCGTCAGAAAAGCTGAATAAACGCAGGAATTCGCAACATTCCGGAGTTAAAATGCTTAATTCTGACAGATTTTTTATTTAAATAAACATTAATACTGTCCATTTACATATTTAGGTAGATGCGTTCACAAGCATGAAAACTACCAAAGCGGTAGGATTTAAAAAAAAAAACACGGAATGCGTACAAAAAATGTCAAATATATCTATAATACTACATTGTTTAACCTATATTCCACTTAGACCTACTAATTTACACAATAAAGCCTAAAAGCCTGAATCTAGCAAAAAATGCAATAAATAACTAATTCCATGAGTTTTATACAAATGATTCTCAGTCGGATCGATTTTTAAACATAAATAAGTTGCCTTACAATAAAATAACCTAAAAATATTAGCTGCAATTACCTCTTCATGGCAAGATAGATTATAAATAAAAATCTCAACAATACATTGACCTCTATAAATGGATAGGATATGTATTTTGTGACTATTTTGTAATTTTGGCGCGATCAACTCTAATATAGTTTTTAAGCTAGATGTGGAACTAAATATATTATGAATATTATATTCCATAAAATAAGTTTTTGGTTGATAACAAGGATTCAATAAATGAAATAAAATTAACTGTTGTATCATTAATAACATCAATAGGCACGTTTTAATCAGAAAAAACAAGCTGTCCCAAGCATATCCATTTATACAGATCAGTGATTACACCTAAAGATTTCGACATAAGATTCTTAGAAAAACTTAAGCATAACAGAATATCCCTTAGTTATCTACTCAGAATAAATATATTATTATAAATGAACACATCCAAAGTATTTTGTCACGAAAAATCGGCTATTTTTTTATTTTTAATATAAATACTTAAAAAATAAAAATCCTGGCTGGAAACAGACTGATTGTAGATTAAAAAAACAGTTTGACATTTAGAAAACCCGCCAAAAAAATTATCGATAGCCTCTGATATAAAATAATTTTAAGTAATTTTTTGGAAATATTAAAAAAGTAAGAAATTATATTTAATTGTACTATAATTATTTCTGTTTTAAAAACCAGTTGAACAAAATTTGTATCGTTATTTTACGAACTACGACTAAAACAAATTCAGTTTTATTTTGTTAATATCTTGATGTTTAGTTTTTTTATAACTGTTATATGTTAAAACACTAAAAATACGTTGCAAGGACTAGGTTTTGTCTAACGAAGGATATTATATATGTTGTTAATTCGGTTTACAATTAAGTTTTATTTAATCTACATTTCTATTAGTTTAGGCCGAAGCTACTTTCCTTTATATCTAAATCTAAAAAAATGGCGCGTTTTTGACAACAAGAGGTTAGATTAAGTCAAAAATAATGTTTTATTGAAAATAAAGCAGATAAATATTTTAATATGAAATCCGCCATTTTTGAAATATCGTTATGTCAATTTACAGTTAATATTTAAAAATTTATTGTCTATTGATAATTTCGTTGAAATTTCTATGATAAGCGAAATGCTATATGAATTAGAAGAGGATGAATGGGGTTATGTTGAGTACATTAGGACCACGATAGGACCACGCTAGGACCACGGTAGGACCACGTCAGGACCACGGTAGGACCACGTCAGGACCACGGTAGGACCACGTTAGGACCACGTTAGGACCACGACAGGTAGTGGTCCTGCTTAGAGCAGGAAGGGCGAGGTCCTGCCGCATTTCTTCCCGCAAGCACATTTACGCACTATTTCGATTTCTTTGGTGTAGCGAGTGCCGTCGTCACAGACCAGACGGATCTGAAACAAGAATTTAATATAGTTAAGGAATTATATTCACTTCCCATGTAAAATCAAACATTTTATATAATCGAATATGACAGTCGCTATCAGAATTATAATTACCGTTAGTTGAATTCAACGTTACTCACTTATAATGTAGTTTTTTTTAGAGATAGAATTTTTGAAATACGCCCAGTAGTTTTTGAGTTATTTCAAGAAATACAAATCTTGCATCTTTATAAGATTAGTATAGATATTAGATATAGCGAATATTTTAAAAACAATACCTTGGCCTGATGTCAAACGACATGGGAATTATTGTAGGAAGTGAACATCCTCGAATGTGTTGCAAGTTAAAGTGGAAATTAACAAAGAAAGCTGACCACACTAACATACTATAAAAGTCTAGCTGTCAATAACATTACGTATTTTTGATAACATTTATTTTGTTAAAAGTTTTTTTTTATAATATAAGTTGGCAAACTCGCAAGCGGCCTGAATCCACCGAAATGGAAAGCGACCGCTGCACAAACATCCGCAATTGCAGCGCTGCCTACCATTATTGACGGAGGAGATGCACATAAAGAGGACATTTCCCCTTCCTATGCGTCTCCTCCACAGTCAAATCCACTTTTCCTTCCCATCTTTTCCTCTTAACAAAAGGGTGGTAAGGGAAAAGGACTTAAGGCCACCGGCACCACACTCATCAGACGAAACGCGGAATTGCTTCCACTTCACACCTGTTTTCTGTCTGGTCGAGCCGGCCCATTCGTGCTAAGATGTTAAAGCGGGCTCTACCACTGTTGTTTGTTGTTTCTTTTCTGTTGTAATAATCTAAATTGTAGTACCTTCCTCTTCTTAGTGCGTTTTGGCTGGCAACACTGTCCCTTGCCGCAGGCGCGAGTGTCCGGGCGCGAAGCGCAGCGAGCCCCGCGCACCGCGCGCCGGCTGCGGCAGTTACCCTCACTTACTGTGTCACGTGTCGCCTCCTAGTATACAAACGAATCTTGTAAGAATCCAAGCATAATTAGTCCCTTTTCTTAAGAGATAAGGATGGGAAGGAAAAGATGGCTTTATTTTACTAGGGAAAGTGCACAGATCTTAGTGATTGGCAAAGAAAGCATTCATAAATATTGCGAAATTTCTACTCAATTTTATGGAAATTCTAGTAAACATCCACAGAATATAACATTAGAGTAACATATAATTAAATGCCTACCTTCCTACAGCCTCCGGGAGCTGGCGATGTCTGCGCAGTCGACTGCTCACCTGATAACTTGTGACCTGGAGATGCTGCAAAAAAAAACAATAAAATAAACATACATAACAATTTAGCTACAATTTTAGTTAATATCCATTTAAATACTGTGACGATAGATGGCGTTGTTACAAAAATATTGTTAATATAAACAAAACATTGATTAAAGAAAGAGCCTAGAAGGTACAATAAATAATAATTAAAAATACACTATTTAACAGTTTCTAAATACTATATCTAAATTAATAACAGCTTTATGTGAATACATATATTAATACTAACTTTCGCCCGCGACTACGTCCGCGCGGAATTAAAAAAAAAACAAAAAAGAGTAGACTATGTGTTCTTCCAGGATATCCTCTACATCTTTGCCAAATTTCATCGAGATCCGTTCAGTCGTTTAGGCTACAAACTCGAACATACATCTATCAAAATTTCGCATTTATTAGCTTTCGCCCGCGATTCCTTCCGCGTGGAATCAAAAAAAAAACAAAAGCGAGTAGACTATATGTTCTTCCAGGGTATCCTCTACATCTTTGCCAAATTTCATCGAGATCCGTTCAGTCGTTTAGGCTACAAACTCGAACATACATCCATCAAAATTTTCGCATTTATAATAGTATGAAGTATCATTCAATTTAAATTCAAAATAACCGTTATTACAGAAACAAAACCCCACAAAAAAGTGAAAAGTGTGCCAAAATTACAATTGAAGTGACGTGCATTTTACCACTATATGTACTAACATATAAGTGTACCATTTATTCTTATTTTCTTGCTTTTATTTATTAATTTCTTAATACATTTGAGAATATCGTTATGGTCCATTGCATTGATATCAGAGGATGGACATAATATATCCCCAGCGTTTGACACCAAGGCCCTGCCTCGTAATACTGTTGGATAAAAAAAATAACAGAATTAACTTGTTTTCTACTGAAATTTTAAACAAAATGACACAAAAAAATGATTATTATTGGAATATATAAAAATTAACAATATTTTTTTGCAGTTTTCGTCCAAAAACGTAAACACGAAACGACAAGCCTTCAGTGACATTGTGTTGGGGAGATGCTGGCAACACTCGTATACGTCAGAACCAAAGATTAGGCGACGAAGTGATCTTACAGCGCGGATACTGGTCTTATATTATTATAAATTCTGTGATATTGCACAATAAACCATTTAAAAACCAAACATTCCGTCAAGCATTCAGTACCGCAATAGAGAATTCAGTACTATACAATTTTACTCTGTAGTAAAAGTGACGTCACTGAAGACGCCATGATTTTCGTGTTTTCGCGGGAATTTGAAATTGTTTATTGAAAACAAAACATTTAATTAAGTTTTAAACTATTATTTATTCTTTAAAAAATGTTTTTTATATTAAATATTCTGACATAACCATATGTAGGATATTTATATGAAAATGTGAGGTTATATTTCGAGATTTCGAATGAAAGTTTTAAATTAATATTAGATACGAATAAGAAATAAAAATCTACTTAAACGTCTAAATTTTAATACAAACTGGACAAATTATTTGTGAATTAAATACATTTTTAGTTACACTTTTAATTTCAGTTATTTAGTTTCACTCTAAAGTTAGTTGTTTTAATTTTTTTTGATACTGTACTTATTCCATCAAAATCTGCCGCATTCAGTGTCTCCTCGACAGTATCCACAAAAAATACAGTCGTGTCATCTGTATATAAAATTCATAATATTAACTAACGCCTACGATTCCGATTCTATTAAAAAAAAAAATAGTCTATGTGTTCTCTAATCTATGACAAATTGAGATCCGTTCGGAAATTTAGGTAACTCTAACAAACATTTATAATATTAGTCTGATATAATTTTTCTGAAGTTTTTTTTTTTTAAAAGGCGTAAACTTTTTAAAATAAACGTCTAGAAATCGTAGTTTAGATTTATATAAAAATTGTAATTTAGTCGATACTTCGAGGTCAATTAAAATTGTATAATTTTACGATCTTTGAACATGTTGACAATTGGGACATATTTTCAAATAGAATAATAGAGATGGTAAAGAAAATACATTAAAAAAATGTCTTTCAAGTTAAATATATGTCGCAATCAGAAGAAATCAATTTCAATTAAAGTCATAATTAGAACACGAGCGCCGCCAAGCGACTTTTGAAAGAACTTAGGTTATTCTGAAAATAGGGATCGTTGCGAGAACATTGTTTGAACGATATGAGCTTGGTAGGTCGATGATATCCTGACTGAGGAGTATTGTGAATGTATCCCTGACATCCGACTTTACCCATGGCCGCCCACATGTCATCTCGAGTACTATTAATTCTGACATCGTGCTAGCTCAAGCCGACATATATATTATCAATAATATTATTAATCAATACTTTTCCCATTGGGTTGTTTAATTCGTTTCATTCGGTCTAATAAAAAAAACATTGGGCATCAGATTTATGGCGGGTAATTCTATTTTTAATCTGTATGTTTTAAATGATTTTTGACAGATAAATGTCATTGAGTCGCACGTTATTTAAAATTAAAGATATACAAATATATAGACGAGGCATAGTTGACATCACATACGAGACATTATCACATAATCTTATTATTTTAAATTGCCAATAGGTGTCATATTATGTATGCAACACTATTTAGTTTTTTTAACGAAAGATGGATTTTATTATAATTGTAAAATGTTTTATTACAATACACGTGGTAGCTTAACTTGACAACTGATTTCAAAGAAAATACCGGTAGAATTGTTGACTGCCTCGTCTATATATTATTTAAAAGTCTTTATTTAAAACACAACACAACTTCGTAATTTAAAACTAATGTTTTTTTGTTTAACTAACAACATATAATAACAATACCTGCGATGGTTCTTGCTGTGTTTCTTCGTCGATCGAAAGGACCTTATGTATTAGCGTGAAAAATATAATATCAGTATAATTGAAAAATATTTAAATAAACATAACAAAAAGGAAAAAAACCAATGGAATTCAAACAGATAATCGATATATAAATTGTAAACAGTAGTTAACAGGAGTAAAAGGTGAGAGTGGTATGGATATGCTATGAGGAGAGATGAATCATGTAACAAGGAGAACGTTAGTTATGAGTACATCGGAAGAGGTAGACATAGAAAGAGATGGATAGTGTGAAAGGTGACATCAAGAAGAGAGTGACCGAGATGACGTATGATAGAGTTAAGGAGGACAAAAACCTGTTGCGCCGAGAGTAGGATAAGGCAGAGGAGATGATGATGACTAGATTTGATGTAATAAATATGTGTAGTTACCTGGCGATGCTTGCACGTTGCTGATCATTTTACGTATTGGCGGCTTGTTTAGAGCTATACTCGGAGCGCCTCCTGGAATACAATATTTTAAATTAAAAACGGAGTAACTAATAACAATAATCGAAAAATAATGTCTTATAGTTAGACTGTTTTGTGTGAAAAATGCAGGTGTTTCGTAGTTGTCTTGTATTTCAGTGGTAGAAGTGCGTTTGACATCTTGGTTGTTGAAATGAAGCTGTGTTTCGTTGATGTAAATGTGTTCTGTTAGGTGCATTCCTTTAGCTTGTGTTCTGATAGGGCTATTTCGTTGGTGTAATTGTGTTCCATTCGATGTGTTTTGTAGGTGCAATCATGTTCTAATAGGCGTGTTTCGTTGGTGTAATTATGTTGTAATAGGTGTGTTTCGTTGGTGTAACTGCGTTTTGTTAGGTGTGTTGTTTGGTATATAGTGTGTATACCGATGCCAGTGCGCAGCTCGCACTGCGCGCCCGCGGTGCCGGCGCGGCACTTGCAGGTGTAGTCTGAGGCGGAGCCCTCCTCGCGCACGCAGCGCCCCCCGCGAGCACACGGGTTGGGTACACAAGGGTCCTGTATACACAATTGTAAAGTTAATTAAAAAGGTAGAGGTTCAGATAGCTTAAAAGTGACGTCACTGTAACAAAATGCGATATTTCCATCACATACTTTATTTTTTATAATTTACAAGCATTGTGGGACGGGCCCTAAGAGTTAGTCCTATCAAATTCTTGTAAATTATCTGATAACCATCCAACGTGTAAAATAGTATGATGGAAATATCAGATTTTGGTATTCTGTATAATAGTAACATTTTTAAGCTATCTGAATTTCTATCAGGCAGTTGTGGGGCAGGCCCTAAGTGTAGTATTACAGCGGGTACACACCATAGATTAAATCGCACATCTTTTTTTTATAATATATGATGGCAAACGAGCAAGCGGCCGGAATCCACCGAAATGGAAAGTGACCGCTGCACAAACATCCGCATTTGCAGTGTGCCTACCCTTAATTGACGGAGGAGACGCACATAAAGAGGACATTTACACTTCCTATGCGTCTCCACCGTCAAATACACTTTTCCTTCCCATCCTTTCCTCATAAGAAAAGGGTGAAAAGGGAAAGGGACTAAAGTTAGGCCTCCAACTGTTTATTCATGAGCTTATATGGAGGTGAACACCCGATTTTTAGTTGTGCGAAACAATCGAATTGCGAAATCGATATTCGCACGACAGTTGTCTTGGCTGGTACACGTACGATGAACTAAAAAATATGTTACTCGGCACTGTACTAAAAGTAACGTTACCGAACGGTTTCTGTTCGGACATTTGGCACTTTTAGTACACTACACGACATCGGTGTTCGCTTCTTCGTTGTTTGATTTGATTGTATATTTGCTAGATTGAAGCATGAACCTTCAGTTATAAGAATCAAAAGTGGATAAAATTATTTATAACAGAAATTTATTTTCGCTAATAACGTATGTTTGACTCTTGTCTCTCTTGTTGCCCTCGTTATATTCTATTCAGGTATTGTGTTCTCACAACTCTGAAGTACTAAAGGTACTAAAAGTGTGTACTAGTAGGTTTTCCCAATAGGGAATATGCATGTATTTTTTTTTCTTTTTTTAAACGATTCTACTTTTTATAAAACAACCACAAAAAAAATTTGACGCGAAAATATTCAACCATTGAGCTAAAAATAATAAAATAATACTACGACCATTTTCGAGCGACTAAAACGCGACCGGAGTTGTCATGAGACGATTGACGTCAATCGTCTATTCCATTCATAACATACGTTCAGATGTCACTTCGACGTAAAACACAACAGTTTCTCAAGGTCAAAAAGTAAAAAATCGATTCATTTTTATTATTCCTGGTACAAATAAGTGGTAATTAATAATTCTATTCATTATTTTTTATTTTAAAGTTGGTTTTGATATCGTGTTTACAGTAAAATACTTCAAGAGTGTATTTCCATATAAACTAACGTAAATGAACTGTGTATTGTCAACAAGCGACGCCATATTAGATAAGCCACTTGCTTCGACCAATAGTTTGCGTTTTAGAACTTAGCGAGGGAATTTGAAAAAATACACTTTTTAATGATTAAATTTTGCCACTAAATCACATTATAATTAAAAAAATCTTCGCAGGATTGTTTTATAGTAATAAAGTATACTTAAAAAAAGTTTGGTACAATTTGGCGTCATATGCATATTGCCTATTGTACTAGTACGGTGCGCACTTGCAGATGTCTGATTAGGTCTAAGATACGACAGTTGTGCGATAGTTGTGTGTGTGATATGCGATGTTACCGGTTTGTGTGCGCCGTCTTCCTGCAGCGCGTGCGGCGGCGGCGCGGGGGGCGGCTCGTCCCCGCCGCAGCCGGCCGCCGTGCGCAGTGTGCGCGCCGCGTTCACGAAGTCCACACGCTTGTGGTTTATCCACGCCTCTTTCAAACAACCTGACGAATTATTTATAATATAAATAAGCGCCAAGGTTTAAGTAATCTTGCTGTCAAGGATTCGAATTGTCGAGTAGCACAAGCTTACAGCTTAGTTGGAAAGAAAATATTGTTAAATTGCTTTAAATTAGAAAGAGATAACAATATGAATTGCCATAGAAATAAAAGAGATAAACGTATGTCACGTACAGCTTTTGAAGTTTAAAATATGCTAGTCTTCAAGTTGAGAGATAGCACGATATAGTTTATATAAGTATGAAAGAGATGGATATATGTTTCACAGCTTTTACACTTCTGTCTTGTTTAGTTGCATATTTTCTTCCTTTTCTCACAAGTTGAATGTATCTACTGTCCTTTTCGTTTTATAAAATTAGGGTTGTGAATGTAAAGAAAATACCTTTAAAACTAGTGATGTTCCTCAAATGCCATTTACCAAAGGCTTCTTTAGCTACATCTTCGGGAACTCCGCCTAGGAACATCGGTCTGTCTAGACGTAAATACTCCTTAGTACCTGAAACATTACGTAAGTTACTGGCATTCTGAAGTTTGCTTTTTATCGTAGCTGTTGCTCGCGACTTCGCCCGCGTTAAATTAAAAAAAATAGCCTATGTTACTCACTGATAAAAAAGCTTTTTAATGGTGAAATAATATTTGAAATTGTCCCAGTAGTTTTTGAGTTTTAAATTTCAACAAAAATATAATTACTTTTTCTTTGATATCTAATATAGTTAAATAGCCCATAGAGAAACGCTTGGAGTCGTATATAATAAATTTTAAACCCCCTTAACTACGAAATTATCTACATAAGGAAACCAAACTGAACTTTTTCTGTCAAAAACTTTAAAAATCACAAACATCTTATACCAGACAAAATATTAGTAACAAGCTGTTCCCGTGCGGCTTCATCCGCATGAAATTATAAAATTTTTATTTTATTGTTCACATTTGTCAAATTATCAATAACAAATGTTAAAATGACATAATGATGGCAATCTTGCTACCTTGATGTTGGCAGCAACTTATGGTCTCTTTCCCACATTAGGGTTTTTATACAAAATATTTACCCCTAAGTTTAATGGCGTGAAAATGTATAGCCTAAAGCATGTAAGTGTAGGGGTTTTTATTAAAAAAAGAATTATTCAAAAATATGCTGTAATCGCTGACATCTTGCAACAAAGTAGTGTGTGTTTACGCTTTATTATAATAGTATAGATTTCGGTAAACCTGGACAGTAAAGGAGATAGAGAAATCTTCCCTAAGGCTACTCATTACCTTCATTAATGATAGATCTCGCAGGACCGTCGTCCACTTTTAAAGTAAAGTTCTTCTTGACAGCAAGTAACTCCGCTTTATGGTAAGAGCCATCGGAGACCATCTCAAAACTGTAACAAGGGTTTTGTAATTACGGAATTAATAAAAACAAAGTGCATGTGTTCCAGACTATACAGTTTAGGTTAACTCTAAGAAAACATCTAAAATTTTCCATTTATAATATTAGTTAGTTTTACAGTTAAGAAAATTGTTATGTCTGTACGTAATATTGAAAGAAATATTCCAGATTTCCTTATATTTGCGTTGCTGATAACGAAAATCGCATTTTTGTCTGTCAGCAAGCCGCGTTTGTTCCTTGTAATCTCGGAAACAATTGGACTTTTTGAAGTGACTAACTCTAGAGAGAATGCTTTTAAAACTGATCGCAAACTATTATTGAATTAATTAATAATTGTTTTTCACAAATTTTAGGGGAAAATTGATCCCTCCTGGACCATATAAACTCCATCTAAGTTAGTGTACACGCTTATGTCTTGTCGTGTCGTGTCGTGTCTTGCGTGCCTATCGTGTCTTGTAGTGTCTTGTTTTGTCGTGTCGTGTCGTGTCTTGTCGTGACTTTTGAGTCGTGTCGTGTCTTGTCTTGTCTTGTCGTGTCCTGTCGTGTCGTGTCATGTCGTGTCGTGTTGTGTGGTGTCGTTTCTGTCATGCCGTGTCTGTCGTGTCGTGTCGTATCTGTCATGCCGTGTCATATCTTGTCGTGTCGTGTCTTGTCGTGTCGTGTCGTGTCGTGTCGTATCTGTCATACCGTGACATATCTTGTCGTGACTTGTCGTGTCGTGTCTTGTCGTGTCGTGCCGTGTCGTGTCGTGTCTGTCTGTCTGTCTGTGGGTCAATTTACCTGTACATAGTGGAAGTAGGATGGTTGCCAACATCGTAGCTGATCCTGATCCTGCCGTTGAAGAGTTCCACAGCGAGATGTTCGCTCTCACCGAAGTACAGTAACACTCCGTGATGCTGAGTGGTGCTGAACACTGGAAGAAGTTTTAATAATGTTACGACCGAATAAGGCCATAAATAAACCTTTTAAAGTGGTTACCCTTGAAAAAAAACTGCCTCATCTATATTTTTTTAATGTCTTATTAGTTAGAAGTCTTTACCGCAACTATCAGCGCTAAAATTAGGAAAATTGGACAAAAAATACTTTAAAATCGTATTTTTAACTCACCTAGTGTAACATTAGCTTGTGGTGATGTCCTCAACGGCTCCAACTCCACGAGAGAGTCGTTGTGATTGAAAGTAAGGGAAGTGAGGTATTCACAGAGACGGCCTGAAAACAATACAAATTGCAGTATTAATTACAACTTAAAAATGTAATGTATTAGTTATACTGCACTGAACAATAGATGGCGTTGTTATCAATAGTACTCCCGCGATCGCGTAACGTTAAGCAACCGCGCTAAGTGAGTGTCCCGCAAATACCCTCATTTATATATATTTTTTTTTATAACATG